GATGTCATATTGTTAGAATGATTTAATAAATTGAATTTATAATATTTTACTTGTCTATAAACCATCGTCGTAATTATTAAAAACACATTAAATTATAAGAAGATTTCTTAAGTCACTTTTTAGCTGACTAGTAATTAAATGAATACACGTCACCAATCTTTAGTTATTTATCTTATCTCTCCCACCTAACTTGAAAAACATGTGTTGAGCACGTAAGAAGATATAATATATTTGAAACACAAGTAAAACGGTGACAATATGATTGAAGAAGAAGAAGAAAAGGAAGTTGATGACTATGACAATTTTGTAAGTTTCTTTAATATTTTTTGCAATTTGTTTTGTAAAAAAAATTAATTTTTTATTCAAAAGATCACTGATTTGGATCGTGAATATATATAATATAATTTTCTTTAAATTTGTATTTTATTATATATATATACTTTATAATAAAATAAATATTCTTTACTGTTGTTTAACCTATGAATTCTATTGTTACTTGAAATTGTTACTGTTGCTTGAAATTGCTATTGCTACTTGAAATTGACATTGTGAAGTTTTGTGCAAAATTTTAAAAAAAATTTAAAAAATCTGTGCAAACCTATATTTTGTTGCAGATCTGTGCAGATTTTTTAAAAAATTTTTCTTTACCAATTGTCACCAGGTTTAAAGTTTTGCACAGATTTTTGGATCCAAAGACCTGCACAAAACTGCGTCCTCAAAAATTTTCTGATGCAGAATTATTTGTGAAAAAAAAATCTCATTATTATCATTATAATAGAAATAAAGCATTTCAAAAATTACTTCACATCATTCATGTGATAAATCATGTGAGTAATTAGCACTACTCAGAGATATTTTGTGACTTGTGGCTTATATTTCTAAATTAGAAAATTTGAAATTTGGATTGGTAAAACTGGTGACATAATTTTTACATTTCATTTTTTGTGTCGGATTTGTTTTGCCGGGCTGATCAAAATTGCGCATCCTTATTGGTTTGTCATGTGCATGTGATCAAGAACCTTGTCGCATACCACACCATTTCTCTGGGCGTATTCTATCTTGGATTCATATTACAAAAGGTCAGTACGTTTTCGTGTACCCTTCTCTGGTAAAGTTTACAGTCACGCGTATCCCTACTGTCGTTAGGCCATCCCGTCCTGCGTTCAGATGTTTGGAGGCAGTCTGCCGAGCTGTCCTTAGGCATATGTGTCTAAGGCCTTAGTCCCTGCATGCTGTTTTCCAGGATGCGTTCACCTATACCTACTGTCGCTGGCCATCTCGTCCTGCGTTCAGATGTTTGGAGGCAGTCTACCGAGCTGTCCTTAGGCATACATGTCTAAGCCCTAGTCCCTGCATGCTGTTTTCCAGTATACAGTTGATTGTGAACGTTACCATGTTTTCTTTCATTCAAATGGATAAATGATTAACTAATTGCATTTATTTTTTTAGATGTTTGAATCCGTCGTGACAGAGTATCTCGATAAAACATTGAACAAAAATTGGTCAATTCTTGGAAGCTTAGAACTTACGCGATCGAACTTCTGTTTACAATCAATGATTTCAAGGAAGATCTATATAAAGTATTACAGAGCTATAAAGAAAAATGCAATGTTCACGTAAATGCCAAAAGAAAGTGACGAAGATTCTATCTAATTTTAACTCATCATTCTCCACTGCTGAAGTGAGGCAATTTATTAATGATCTTGAATATCACGAGGAAATGTTACGTCTGCCTACACAGCTACAGTTTTGAAGGTAAGTTTTATGAAAATTCGAAACCAACTTTCACAATAGACTTATCAACAATTTTTTAGGATCAACAAGAAAATCAAAGGTTCGTTGGTCAATTAAGAAAAAAAGACATCACAAGTGAAGATTCAAAGTTGCGAAAAATAGAAAACCTGGGAGAAGCTTCCAAGCGGAAGCGTGAAGAGGAAGAAGAACAAGTGATGGTGGTAAGTGTGCAGATCTTTTTGTAGTGATAATATTTATATCTATAGGAATCAAGTGAGAAATCCCCTCTTCAAGACTTAACCGATAATCAATTTTCCGAGAATATGAAATCAATCTGTCGACATCACAATGAGCTATATTCAAATGACGAAACTTTAATTAATTTACGGCCTAATTCGAACTTTATCAAGCAACTTCCTTTCAGTATTCTGGTACCATACCTTAAGGAGCTTGATGATAGAATCGAAAATTTAATTACATCAGATGTACATGAATTCCTAACGAAGTTCTTTCATCAAAATTTGACGGGCGAAGACTGGCATATCAAGATTGATGATCTGCGCTGTCCAGATCAAAGTGATCCATTGATGGTATCAGTTGTGCGAATTTTGCGCAAAACGTTGCCATTATTGTAAGTACAATTATTTTGCCTTTTCTCCGAAGAGTGTTATACTTACAGTGTGTTTATAGCATCATCGCTTTTTCAATGGGACCACGAAAGCCTCTACTTAACTTAGTTACATTAGAAAAACCACATCTGAACTCTTGTCCATCCATGCTTGCAGGCGTGTCTTTGGTACATTTCATCAATAAGTTATGAATTTGGAGAAATTGGGTCTAAACCGCGAATGCGCTGATGGATTAGGATACTTGAATACAGCTGATAAATTCCAGCTGGTGTATGTAGAAGGGTCACGGCCAATAGCAAAGGATGATAAAGAGATCGCAGATTCCACGAAGATTTCGAATAACCTTCAAAAAATGTTCCTAAATATCGTTAAAGATAATGCCAAATGCAGATGACGATTGTCCAATGCACTTGCTGTTTTTGGTGGACAAAGCTTTCGCCTTCGAATCCATTTACAATTCTTGGACTATTGTGGTATGTCATTTATGTTTGATTTATATAATTTTTATTCACTCCACTGATCAATGATAATGCTAATCTTAGGGGAAAGCTCAGGCTCAATGAAGTAGATAATGCTAATCTTCCAAGGGACTTCACAGAGATGGATGACTTTGTATTGTTCTATGAATGCGTGATAAAGTGTGCTGTAAGTATTCAGTACTTGGATCATCATTTATTACAAACGACTTACATTAACAAATTAATCATGAATTTAGTTGTTAGCTCGGGAAGTCAAGGAAGGATTCGAGGAACCAAGGGCGCAAAAGAGGCCTTCAAGGCTCTCATACATTAATAGCCTGAGTTCAGTGGATATTCTATAACTGAAGATGCTTCACAATCAAAATAAATAATACTTTCACGCAAAACTAAAATATCGATCGGTGAAGCACACATGTAACTCATGTCTTATGAATAAACTTTATGAATAACAATCTCATCTTCGCATAATCTGCACAAAATGAATCGCAAAAGCATTTAAAGTTTTATTCTTATTCAACGAGAACCAAGTCTCGAAGATGCTCTGGAATAATTATATATGGGTCTTCGTAATACCAAACATATCTTAAAACAATCCAATTCTCTTCTCATAATTCTTTCTTGAGTTGATCCCGAGTTTTCATGCTTATTTAAGCACCCATGACCTTTGGCACAACTCCAAAGCATTAGTGTGTTTGTATTGTCATTCCGCAGAAAACATTTTCTACCACGTTCTTGTGTGCTATATCAATGCTAAGATATGGACGATCTGAACCACCTGATATGTCAACGTAAAGCGGTTCCATCTTCTCGGTCAAAGACCTCGAAACCAGAGAAAAAAGCATTTGTGATTCCGCATCATAGCATTAATATTCTCTGGTCACGAACAAAGTGAGTGGGTGGGATTGAAGCCGTTTAATTTTTTTCATTCCTACCTTACTAAACATAGTGTATATCACCTAACTTTCCGAGTCTTCTTACGCAGATTATCTTTCGTGATACCAGGAAGGTGTGGCATGATATTATATACCTAATTTCTAGCCGTTGACCCCCCCCCGTCGTTTTCATGATATCCTCGAATCTTTCTGCATAGTAATACCAACCATTTCTTACTTGGTCTTACTGTGAGTTTGTACACTTTAGAGATTCTCCGAAGTTTAACATGTGAAGAGATCCTCCGGGATTCGAAGAATGGAATGAATTCCTTTGGAATCCAGAAGATTCATCCTTGCTTCACGAGATCAACCAAATTCTCGAATTCCGCCCATAGTATTCCATCTCCGAAAATTCCGAACGCTTTCACCTGAAAAACAAATGATCGCTAGCAACCTTAATTGGTACATAGTAATTCCCCACTACCCTTGTGAAACAAGAGAATCAAGGATTCCCCCCCCCCCAACCGTCATGCGAAATTTTGCTGTCTCATATGTAGGCGCGCAAGTGCTATCGCTTCGCAATAATATTGACCAGATGGTCTGGCTTTATTAATAAATCGTAGTAAAGGCATCGAGGATATTATATATTACGCGTTATCTATATAGGTCAAAATGCTGAACTAAATTCACGAGTAGGTAATGAATGGAGACGCTTTATGCGTTCTCTACGTGTGATTTTTAGAACGATAAGCAGTGTTAACCAACAAAAACAAAAGCTTGTTCATACCAAACTTTCTGTTATCACGTCATTCCTGATGTTATTGTAATCCCTCCATCGAAATGCGGCAGTTCATGCTCTCGGCTCTCCCTATCCACGATAAGTTCACTTTGAAATCTTGTCGACGAATAAATGCATGGTAGTGTGTTCCTTTACTTACCAAATATACGACTCACATGTTCGTAAAAACATTCACAAAGTCTTGTCTTTAAACATGCCAGAGTTGCCATCTCTCAGATTACCGTCCACTTCAATTTGTTGATAGATGGTGGTAGCTCAAACACTAAAAAAATGTCTATATAATTCCTCCTGATGTGTTACCTTTAGTCACTTATCTGAGATTCCTCCATATAATCACGCCCTCGGGTGACTATAATGGTGGAGAAGTGTGATTATATGGGGAGTGAACGAAATGCGGTTGTTCATTAATGACTGCAAGTAACATCAATTGGGACAATGTTAACAATTTACGTACTTATTACCAATAAAGTAATTTATAAATGCATTACATAAAATAGGTTCATATTACGTATCGTTATTATTTGATACCATTGATTGTGCGTAGAAAAAATGCTATTCAATATAGCCCCTTATTGGTACGACGCGACGCGAAACTAGCGATGAATATGTATATAAAGTAGAATAGCAAGCTTCCTCTCTCTCTCAGCAAATATCTTGTGCTTTATTTGTTTCTTTGACAACACGACTCTATATAATAAAAATGAAATCAAATAAAAAATTTCACAGTTCATGGGTAACTCATGCTATTCTCCTTCTTTCGCTCTTTACTCTTCTCTTCTATATAACTCTTGTGATCCCCCAAGCCCCTGATACCTCGGGTTGTCCAGTAGAAAAATGTCCTTACTATGAAAAATTTAAAGCCGGCGAAGTGTCTGGTATCGATTGGTCCTCTTCAAAATGTCCATTGGCCGGTAAATGCCCTTACTATGAAGAACTAAAGAAACGCGCGTTAACCGATGGTGGTAAACTTGACCTCTCAAGTGATAATAATAATGATACCGGTTGTCCATATGTTAAAAAATGTCCCCATTTCAAAACTAAAGATGGTAAGGTTGATTGCGGTGAAGATTGCTTAAAAGAGTATTATAAGGCACATGGACATGGTGAAGGAAAAGGTGATTTATCGAAGTGTCCATATTTGAGTAAAATGGGAAAGGATGATCAAGATATTAAGTGTCCATATTTGGAAAAATTGAAGGATACAGAGGAAACTATTAATAGAGAAGAATTATAAATAGATTAAAGAATGTTGATGTAAATTCTAATATTTATTGTTATGTAAAGATCTTGAGTGTATACTATTCTCTTTTATTATTGGTTAGAAATAATAGTGATGTTGCATTAAAATCGCGTTTCTCACCTTTCACCCATTTACTTGAAATCGAAATTGTTAAAACCTAAATGTCAATCACATCAGTAAACACGAGCTTATTTTCTGGTTTGGCACATACGCTACCTTCAAACCAGCTAGCAAACTTAATTCCACAAAAAACGAATAATAAAAGTGGAGAATGGATGCAGGCGCAAAAGGAGGTTGAAAATAGGGTTACGAGCGCTAATCAACGTGTTAGTTATTATCAATGGCAAAATCAAAAACTTGACTTAGTAGCTGGTAAGAGTAATGCAACAACCCAAAGTGGTGTGAATGCGGTTCCTATAGCTACCGGTTTAGTTACTACTGCTACACGACGCGATAAAATTTCTATAAAACAACGTACTAGGAGAACACCAGGTGCTTGTTTCTTTTTTTTCATTCCCTATTAGTTTATATATATTGATTTCACTTTTGTTTATTTTTTCATAACTTAGCGAGTTCAAGGTAAATTTTAGTTTTGTAATCAGAATTAATTAATTTAGAACCGTATGATAATACCAAATTACTCGCTCATTCATAAAAATTTACAGTAAGCTTCCAAAAAAGAAAAAACAAAAAAGAGAACGGGAAGAGGAAGAGGAGGAGGACATTGAAGAAGGAGCAATTGAGGTGGAGGAAGACGAGGATAGTGACTGGGAAGAAACTATAAGGACGCGAAAATCGGCCACTAAAAAAAAGTCAAAGCAAAAGTCTGCAAGTATTGTTCTATATTCTCAGTAAAATGATCGTAGATACAGAATCATTAGCTCTTTTATTAAAGGGAGAAAATTTTCACAAAGAATACCAAGAAAAAAAGACGGCGAAACACGGATAAATACGAGGATAAAAATGCTGAAGATGCGTCCAAAATTAAGCCAAAAGATCAAATACCTTACAACACATTTATGAGTATGATTGATGGCTATGCAAGACCATTCCAAGAAGAGAATCATCAATTCTTAATAAATAAAATGGTAATTATTGCATAGTGAGTGTCTGGCTGTTTATTCATTAAATTAATGTTTTTTTTTTGATCGCTAGGCCGAAGCAGAAGATCCAAAGGCATATGAAATTCCACCACTAGGGAAATGTTGGGAAGATGCACGAGAATCTAATAGTGATCGAGTATATCAATCAGAAGATATAGTAGATCTGGATGCCTTAGGTTTGGGTAAGATTTCACATGGACCCTTGACTAATCAGTTATTTAGTGCTCTCATGACGGAAAGTACAGAATTCGACATCTCGAAATTTGGAAATGGCAAAGACAAAGAAGTCGACAGAAGTCAAGGAGAGAGTGAACACATCACTCCATCAAATCCAACAGCAACTGATGTTCTTGATGAGAGACTCAAATTAGAACTTCAATATGTTGGATTATTAGATAAAGATGAGGATCTCAGTTTGCTGGTAATAAACAATCTCATAATCTTGATTATATATATCATCTTCAATAATACACTTAGCACGCTATTTTTTGGTTAATTAGAATGAAATATCGTCGTTTACTTCAGCAGCTCAAAATGAAAAAGACGATGACGAAGTTAAAAATCGGCTTATTGAGTTGCAAGAATCTTTGAAAGTACAAAGCAAAATCAACGTCAATCGAATGTCCAAGATTATGCCCAAATTACAAAGACATATTGCGTATAATCAATTCACTGATTTCATAGATCAACTTGATAAGCAAATTGAAGAAGGCTACTCGACGCGCTATGCAAGTAGACTGACTTGCTTTTACAGACTAATTAATTAATTCATATGATTCATATTGACGCACTTCGTAACGATTTTTTAGAATCTTACAAAAACTTCAAAAAAGAAAAAACCAATCAACACTCAAAATCTCGAATCAAATATTACATGCCGTCGAAAGTACACAGAAAAAATCGGTCGGCTGTTTAAACCCGAGGAATTTATGGCACCAAACGAATCGATTTTTGAAGAAATTGAAGAAATGGTTTAAGTATTATCTCGAGAAATAATGTACATCCAATGAATCAGTCATTGGGAATATGTACCAAAAATACTGCATGTATTTGTCACACATTTCTCATTTATAATAATATATATACACACACACATCATTATCATCAAACAAATTAAATATATAGATAAATGAGCATTCTATTATATAGCTAATAAATGAAAAGGATCAAACAATAAGAACGTTAATATGAAAATAAACCATCGATTAGATTACAGAATTGTCCAATGTTAAATCTTCATCTTCCTCCTCAATTTCGTGAAGATCTCTTCCGTCAGAAAGAGGAGTTTGATCAATAATTGCCTTATAACCTTCCAGATCTGCGTCTTTTGTCATCAATGTTTGTGGTTGTATAGGCAACAATGCAATATATGCGATGAATATGAAATAAACAATAGCCCAGAAATAGCCGAGTACTTTGTTTTCGAGTTCTTCGAGATACACGAAAAATAGATACATGTTGAAACACATTATAATGATTGCTAGACACCAAGTAACGAGTTTCCAAAAGCGATGATTACTGAATGTGTTACCCATAACTAAATTTGAACTGGTTAGTTTGAGAATCGGCAATAGAGCGGTGGGAAGACAGAGGCTTTGGAGAACATTAAGAAGTTCACCCATGGTATCAAAATGATCCACCTTAAAGATTCATTTTGGATAACAAACATGAGTTAATAAATCCAAATAACATGATCCGATATAATGTTATCTTACCGCAAAGATTGCCACTAACATGGACGGTATTAAAGCAATAGAACGCGTTATAGCAACACGATGCCAAGCTTTTTTGAAAATTTTCCCAAAGAATCCTTCCATCACATATTGGCCTGCCAATGTTCCTGTCATAGTTGAGCTTTGTCCAGCGGCCAATAGACCCAAAGCCCAAAGATACTTAGCTCCATTTCCTAAAGTCTTATATAATACATCTGCAGCGTCGAAAAGTCCAGGCATATTTGTTATTTCACCAGGAACGAAAAATACCGAAGCAAATACTACGACGATGGCCAAATTGATCAGATAAGAGCAGAACAAGGCAAAAGCACTCTCAATACCAAAATAGAAATTTGCTTCTTTGAGTTTCTCTATCGTAACTGGCTCTCTTTTACGCGTCATTACTGAAAAATATATTACATAATTAGTGGATAATAAAGGAGACGAGAGGTATTATTTATTCATATATTTACCTAAAGCTGAATGAAGATATAGATTATGGGGCATAATCACTGAAAATATTCAAATAGAATAAATAAAAAATTATATAAAATTAAGAAGTCGTAAATATAATCATGTAATAGTCATCATACCAGCACCAATTAACGCGACTGCCTGCACAACAGCATTACTTGGAACCGTTGGTATTAGTATTCCTTTAGCAATTTCCCCAGAATCTGGACGACTCATAAACATTTCTATCCAAAAACATCCAGCCATCGTAGCAATCAAAACTATAAAGAGTGCCTCGAGTTTTCTCACACCATAATTCTGGAGTAACATAAAAGTAAATGTGTCCATAGTAGTTAACAAAGTTCCCACCCATAAAGGTAAATTGAAAAGAATTCTCAATGCTATAGCTGTTCCAATAATTTCCTGGATATCTGAACCAATGATGGCGAGCTCCGTTATTATGTAAAGTGCAATCGATACTAAACGTGGGTAATTATTTCGAATCAATTGTGCGAGATGTTGACCTGTGACCACGCCTGCTCTAGACGATAAACATTGAATCAAAAGACCGGCAATGTGTGCGTAAAGCAACAGCCACAGCTATAAGATGTATAAGATAAAGTTTACTATTAGTGAATCGATACAACTCTGTAAAGCAAGATTATTACTACATACCAATGCATAACCAGCAGTTGCGCCTGTTTGAAGATCTGCCTCCAAATTTCCTGGATCTATATATGCTATGCTCATCAAAAATCCTAAAAAACCAGTTTATTAAATATAAAATCGAATTCTTTGCATCGAAATGATAGCATTTTGTGTAAAATATATTTTTTATACTAAGAAAGCATTATTATTATTATTATTATTATTATTATCGTTATTACTATTACTATTATCATCATTATTATTATTATCATCATAATCATCATTATTATCATTATTCTTTAAATTTGCTACAGTGTAGTCTTATTCTACGTGTGAAGACTTATTATTATTCATGTGGTAATATAATAGAGAATTGCTCTTTTGTTTTATATATAAATTGACGTCAGAGGTCACTTAACAAATTGAATGTTTTCGGATTTACTTAATAAAGAAAAAATGAATACCTGGTCCTGTGTACTTCCATAATTTATGCCAAGAGAAGCCTTTTTCAACTTCTCCGGTTTCAATCTCGTCCACAATAAGTTTATCACCCAGGTTCATTAAGTTATTTGTCTGGACTTGCAAGTCAAGGTCTGTAGTTTTCTGTACATCTTGTAAAATGTCACTTTGCGGAAATAGTGGTTGGGTTTCGCACATTATAGTTGCTGTCCAAGTTGCAAATATAAATGTTGCTCAAGTTGTAAATGTTTTCGTTTTGTGTCTTAATCTCAAATACTGTTGTATTCGTTGTTTTACTGTTACTTTTATTTTATTATTATTTTTATTTTTAATACTAAATTTTTATTTTATTAGGGTATTCGAGTTCTTGGAGAAAGAGAAACTTTTCCCTCTTGACTCATGGTTTAGTTTTCGATTCATGTAGAAATTGTTCATGATTTATTTAGTGATCAACCTTTCACACTCTTTTAGGCACCCGAGTTTTCCCAGTACCCATATTGATATTGATATCAAGGAAAACGAAAACGGAAATTTGTTGCTGATGATGGCTAGTTTCAAGACATTTAATAATTATTAGCTCGTGTCAATAGCAATTTTCCTCCGATTAACATGAAATAAATAGAATTTCGAAATATAATCTCCTCTACAGCCATATGAATTGTTTTTGTCATAGCAGCACAAACTGCAAAAAAGGATAATCAGATTTGTTAAAGTGAATCAGATAAAAAATGACTCAGCGTTAATGTTAAACAAATATGACGAATAAATCAGATAATTCTTGGTATACAATTTTGCTTTGTTACACTTATATAAAAAATATGTGCATAGATTTTATTTGGTGAAGATAAAGAAATTAGCCGTGATATAAAATGCATCAAGCAAAGTTGATTGGTCAATAATATTTTTTATCCCGAATATGCTTAATAATTTAATAAATCAGCTGATGCACATTTTTTGTCTTGTTCTTAATGAATCAGGTTTATCATTATATGTCAACACAATGAATTCACTATTATGGAATAGATAGCGATTGACAGATGATAAATTATGTGACTCGTGACTTATGATTTCTAGTTTTATTAAATTAGTATCATATGTACACCACTAATGAGGTCGTTAAGAAATGGAAGCGAGCAGACGTTCCTGAATATTTGAAGTCCAAACAAGATGAGATGGATCTTGACGACGAAGATATAAAGCTAATAAGGTCGCCGGCCAAGTTTTCATTAGCTTGTCAGAAGAAAAGCTTTTAGTCCCTCCATATAACCTTCTCGGTTCAGCCGGAGCCATAGCACTTTTGATCAAGGCACTTAATGGCGAAGTGCAAGGAAAGATGCACGGTCGCATTTTAATCTCCCAAACATTGTTTTTCTCGTTCGCCTTACATCCTCATCTCTAATATCGGCATCTCTCCAAGAACCAGAAAGTCGGAAGATGATTTACAAACCGCCGAAGCTATCGAAAGACGTGTATAACTACCTCTGGGCTCCCCCGTTATTACAGTAAAGAAATATATTATTATTAGTAAGATCCTTCTTGTTTGTAAAGTATATGTCTTCATTTTTTATATTCTGGCAGAACTTTGGGACTGTCACTACACTAATGGCCAAGCCTCAATGAGTATTAATGTCAGCAAAGATCGTGTAGATCATTCTTTTAAAAAGGAAATTGAGGTTTTACGAAAGCTGTTTGCAGACGAACATCCCGCTTAGCTACGTCTTACACAACTGGAAAGCCAACTGAAGGTGATGTATCGAGTAAGAAGAAATACGAATATCTATGCAGGTCTTGTGCTTGTTGTGGCGAGCGAGCTGGCGCTTGGGCGGGAAATTCTCGTTTATGAGTCAAGGACATAAAGTTTAGGCTCTTCCAGAGGGGATATCGCGTTTAGTTAATACTTTAGTACAGAAAAGGCGGTGTGCTTGTGAGCGAAATGCGTCTTCGTGGATGGGGTGCGTCCTCATCTAACTAAATTATAACATTCCGGGTTGTTTCTTCTTTATAGGTTGTTGTGCTTTGACATGTTCTAGTTGTTTTTTGTATTGATTAATTAAGCTACAATCTTGATTATCTCAGATGCGTCAGTCAGCAAGAATTATAAAGAAAGCAACTAGAAAACGAGTAGCCAATGCAACTTACCAAAAGAGCGACTATAAAGAAAGAACTAGAAATTGTGAAGGTCAGAGTTTTTTTTATTTTGAAATATTTTTAGCAGCTATATGATAGCTTAAATATTCCAGGATTCTACAACTGTCGGTGGATATCACCGGATCAATAAACATTACGACATTTTTCAAGAAGCAAGTACACAATTGGTTAAGCGTAAGTTATTGGCCGATAATGACTGATCACATTTTTAAAAATGAAGAAAGTGTGTGAAAAAAAGTTCCAGAGGAAGTAGCTGTAAGACGTAAAATGGAAAGTGTTGCATCTGCGGATCATGAAAAAGCAGATGATTTGTGTCTTAAAACAATCCAGTTTTCTTCGCGTAATTCTTTCTTTAGTTAATCCCGAGCTTGCTGTTTGATAAAATTATTCGGGTCTCCTCTACGAAAGAATTCGATATATTTTTCGTGTTGTTCCCCTTGTACTTCGATCGCGAAACCATATTCTGGATAAAATATATCGAGTTGTAGTCCTCAAGGGTATTCAGATGTTTTTAAGAAATCTGGCTAGCGATTTTTTGATGGAGGCCCAAGATATTTTGCTACAATTTCACGGCATAAATTTTCACGTTTGTATTTACAAAATGGACACCACATATCTCTGGATTTTATATTCCAAAATGGTGCATTCCATAAATGGCCTTCAGAACAGCACCATAACAAGTCTGAGCAACAATTAATATACTCTTTAGAAAGGCATTTCCCATTTAGGCTAAAAGCAATTTGTTTAACGACTTTAATAGTATACCGAACATTGTATAAAAGTTGCAAACCACTTATTAGTATCACAAATTTTATATTCGGTTGAAAGATATTTGCTCTTTGATACAGCATCATAATAAATTAGTATATCAATTTTTATATTCGGTTGAAAGATATTTGCCCTTTGATATAGCATCATAATAAATTAGATATGTAATAAAAAAATAATGGCATCAATTAATTTATTACTCATTACATTAATAAATCTTCATTAAAAGATTCCACTTTTTCTTTATCTTTCAAAGACGACGATAATAATAGTTCATCCCAGATAACTTTTTGCGTACTCGAATTACCAGTAATTATATTTGATAATGCTTGTGTACCTGATTTTGTTATATTCAATAATAGCGCTTTTGTATATAGATCGAGAAAGATAATTATTAATTTTAAAGAGATTTTCATTGGGAAAATAACAGAAGTAAGATATGTTGCACACTTTGAGTATCACAATTTTTATATTTGGTTGAAAAACTCTCCATTTCTATTATATACTATTTGTTTTAATACAGCACCATAATAAAGATGATCCATTATTACAATTTAGTATTTCTTATTCAAATAATTATTCTAATGAACACTCAAATAATTATTTCAAATGAAGAAATCTGAAAATCATTACCTGATGATATTATCAATGATACAATAAAAAAAAAGAAAAGAGCTGAAAAAATATATGATCTATTTGATAGTATTAACAAAGTAAAAATAAGAAATATAAAATTATTTATTATATCATCTATTTCAAATTTAAGTCAGGATAATATAAATTATATAATTGTTAAAATTTTGAAAAGAGATGATAAAATTTGATTGCATCTTATTATTGTACCTTATTACTTATATTTAATTTTCCAAAATTCATATATAATATGCAAAAATAGGTTTGTAAAATATAAAATTATATATTATTATTAAAGTTAATAAATGTTATATTAATTATATTATGATTATAAATAGCTAATAAATTTTTATACCTAATATTTTTACATATATAATCATAGATTCTTATCTATATAATAAAAATTGTAAAGTAAATATTCTTTTTTAAAATAAATTATATAGAATTTTTATAATTTATTCCTTGTATAAATGTCTAATTTGATTAATTTTTTGATTTTGTATTATCTTAATTTTATCAAAATATCCTAGTCATAATGAAAAAAATATCTAAATACATGATTTATGATTCATATGAAATATCTGAACAGATTATTGATATATAAACATATAACTGAATTACAAACAGATTATTTCTGAAAGACTGAAGTTAATCTTAAAAAATTATTTTTAAATGACTAAATAATCAAAATCAATCTTAAAAAAATCAGATTATTGATAAAAACTAAAGTTAATCTTAAAAAAAAATATAGCAAATTCTGTATTATTTTAATTTTAAATGCTCAGGAACTTTTATTAAAATAAATAAAAAATATAGAATATAAATAAAATAAATTAAAAAAATTCAAATAAAATAGTAAATTCTGAAGCAAAGTTCTCTTATCCAAGATATTGATTTTGTATTATTCTCAAATATATTAAAAAATTATAAAAACTTAATATCTTTATAAATTCAAATTATTAAATTCAAATTATTAAATAAAAAATATACAATATCAAATTTCTAAACAATTTAATTTATTAATTAATTTTTATTATAATATAATAATTAATATATTTGAAAACAATTCTATAAAGAAACTTGAAATAAAGATATATATTGATTGTAAAATTATAAAAAAAAGAATTAAATTCTGTTATTTCAGCTTTAATAACTTATAATATGAATATATTATCTGTAATAATTGCTTTACAAGAAAGAAAAATAAATATAAGATTATAGATAATACTATATCAAAAGATAAAAATTTAGAAATGATCTATAATAAATTGAATCTTAATAATTTGCTTATTTCTTTTCAAAGTATTACAAATATTTTCCATAATTTTTTAAATTTGGAAGAGCCATTTGCATCAGATTATGTTCAAGATGACTTATGTAAAAATAATCATAATACAATTATATATAATTTAAATGAAGTATACAAAATGATTTCAAATAAATTTACACAAGCTAAAGTAATCAATAAATCAGTAAAATTTATCTTTGAAATTGAATTGAATTTTGAACTTTTCAAAATGCTTTCTTTAAATTATCAAAATATTGAGAATTTAATTATAATTAGAAAAAATTTAAAGAAATTACTAGTATAATTATTATACTAATAGAATTTGATTTTACTTATTATTAGAAAATATATAAATTATAATTAAATTCCAAGAAAAAAGAATATATAGATTGTTATATAATATATCTTGATTATATAATATAAAATAATTATACATAACAAAGATTTGAAAGCTAATTAGTGAAAAGAAAAAGTAAAGTCTGCACTCCTATAAAGAAATATAATTATACAAAAAGTATTAAACTCTTTATAGATTTAAAAAAAAATAGATTATTCTTCAAGTTGATTATTAAGTATTATATGAGTATTCAATATATTAGTATATTGAGTTTTCTAATAAAGCAAAAGAATGAATCAAGAATAATATAATATTAAATTTGTAAAATACAGAGATATATTAGTAATTCTATAAGAAAATAATCATTGTTTTTGATATATATACAAAGAACAAGTATATTACTGGATCATTATATATAAGAAGAAATTATATATAATAAATAAAAAAAATTAATTTTTATTAGTAAAAATGTTTCTTAAATAGTTTGAATATAAAAAAAAACTTCAAAATTCTTTATAATTGAAAAATAATTATATTCAAGCTATGGGATTTTTTATTTCTCTGGTTAAAATTATTAATTTCATAAATATAACTAAAATTATTATTAATTTAATATTTAAAATCAATCAAGAATAATTTGAATTTTTTGTAGTAAATATGAATTATGATAGATATAATATATTAATTATATACTTATACTTTTGTACTTATAATAATACTTGAAAAACTTTAAATAATTCAAAAAATGAAATAAAAATATATGTCAAAATATTATAAATATTCTTTATTAGACTTTAATAAAAGAGATTAAAATCAATTTTTGATATCGAGAATATGTTATTGATTGAAAGTTAAAAGAGAAAAAATACAAATAAAAATTTATATAACAATAAAAACTTCATATACTTATCAAAAATTTAATTTTATTGATCTGTTATGAATTTCAAGAACTAATACTAATTTGATTTGTTTAGATAGTATTATGAAAGAACTTTTAAACATAATTAAAAAGCATGCTAATATATATTCTCTTATCTCACTTTCAAAAAATACTTTTTAAATCTAAAAAAATATATCATTATTGTATTAAAAAAATATATTAGTTCTATCATTCACAAGGTCTTGTGAGATTATGGAATTATTTGTGAATAAATTGATATAATGAAAATAATTGGTTGAAAACTTTTTGCATGCTCTTTATATATATTAGCAATATCTTTAGCTTGTACAATAATAATTACAAAAGTTATTGATGAGTTTTAAAATATAATTATAAACAAAATTATAACAGATCACATTTGGATCAACTCACCTATATTATTGCTAAACAACTTGTATTTGATTTCAAGCTCAAATTAATCTATTTTAATAATAATTGTGAGTTTTTATTATGATGACAATTATTTAGAAAAGATTGAACTAAATTAGTAATGATAAAAATTGAGTTCAAAATGGAGCAAAAATATCATATTGATATAGATAACTGGATTTGCTCTTGTCCATATATCTTAAAAGCTAATATCTTCTTTGTAAGCATTTTGTTATCAAAAAGAATAATAATTAATTTTTATTCACATTTCTAGAAACAGTTCGATGACACAATTATCCTTTGATAAAGATAAATTATCAGTTATTGATTCAAAGAATAATTCTTGGACAAGTACTCCAGTACCTGATATTAATCTAATTGAAGAAAGTAGTAGCTTAATAAGTTATCAAAATAATACTATACAAAAATCAATAAGAGACAAACAAAGATAACTTGAAGAGTATAAGAAACTATTTAATAATGCATTAGTCTTATATGAATGAGAGCTAGACAATGATAATTTCTGTAAGAATTTTAATGCATTGGTAAAGCCACTCAAAAGCTGTTGATGAATGTCAAGAGATATTGCAAGTCCGTAACCAACAAAGTACATGGGGAATGAGAAGTGAAAAGCTTGCTTTTTACTTGTGTTGAGTATAGTATTTTTTTATATTTAGAAAATAGTGTATAATGTAAAAAGGGATTGGAAAATATGTAAAGGAGAATAATATAAAAGGGGAATTGGGAAATAATGTAAAAGAAATGGAATAATAATAATAAACTTTGTTGACATCACATTTGGTCATCGAGCCTATACATCGGTAACTTGCCCGTACATTTTTACGTGGATCCTCCTGCCCGGACATTTCACGTGAATCATAAATCACGTGTTCGGACATTTTTCTTCGCCATGGCTAGGTTACTAATTTTATCAACAGAGTTTTTTCTCATATATATATACCTGCCAACAAAATTTTTAAAAAACCAATTTTTCCAGAGTTTTAATTTTCCTGCGATATTAGGAATATTGAAAAAAAAGATGTCCAACGAAGATAAAAGCAAGCTTACAAAGTTTACAGAACGCCCGAGTACCACAAACTCCATAATAAAAATGTGGGTTCTTCTCGAGGGTGAACCGGATCCTGTAAAGTTGGAAGCTGACATATCTCAGGTTGCGGACTTGAACGATTTCAAGGATATTCTTAGGGACGAGTTTGAAGAATTAGAAGGTGTCCAAAAACAGAAAATCATATTTTTAGATAACAAAAACACACCCCTAAGACCGGGAACTAACCTCGAATCCCTGGCTGACAATTCAACAGACATAAACTCACTTATTGTTCGTTACCCACTTTCGGATGCAAACAGTAAATGAAGTTTTATTTTCTTGCTTTGTTTTTTCTACTTAAAATAAGTACTGATTAGTTTCCATTCAATTGCAGTTGTGGTGAATTTTACGTATGTACATAAACAGGGTAAATGTAAGATACAACATACAACTGGTTCCTTAAGTTCGTTACGAGAAGCCGTCGTAGAAAGATTCAATGAGTTACAAACAGGAGAATTTTATTTTTTCAATGATGAAACAAAAGATGAAATCCGGAACGAGTACCACTTTAATGACTTAGTATCTCAAACCGAACTAAATAGCAACAACTATAATCTTAAATTAAAAATCAAAGTCGAGGGAAAAAAGTCTTATAGCGATTGGGAACTAAAAGACGTGTTTAAGGAAATATTACAAAAGAACTATAAATCACTTAGTGGAATGCCAAGATTTAACTTAAATGATCTTCCTTCATTAGAGCACCCATTTACTGAAGACGAATTAAAAGGCTTTGTTTCTGAACTTCAAAAATCACTTAATTCACTCAAGTACGAATTCATCAACAAGACGACAGCTCGTGAATATATTTCTACCTTCATAATAACTGCGGTTTGCCATATTCAAGATCACATAAACGATTCAACACAGTTATGCGAGGAAATAGACTTGGATGGAAGTCATGGGTATGGTATTGTCGACTACATGGTGATTATCGTTAAAATTTTGGTGCTGTTATGTGAAGCAAAAGCAGAAAATATGAACAAGGGAACCGCTCAGGTTCTCGTGCAAATGCACAGCGCAATAGAAGAACAATTGAATAAACGCAAACGGGGCCAAATGGAACATGCGATGTTCGGAATAGTTACAACTGGAAAATTATGGCGATTTGTCCGTTGGACTGGATCATTGGAAGACCCGACGGTTCATATTTCTGAAGAATACACTTGCAATTTTAAGGGTAATATGGAACCCGAAAAAGAAGTGTTGACGTATATTGCCCAGATATTACAAGCCCAAGCTAAGGCATTTGATAATAATGATAAAGACAGTGGCCATCCTTCAAAACGCCAATGTACTGATCAAAATAAGTGATAGATGAAAGAATTTTCCGACATGTATTTCATTTCTACATGTATTATTTTTTTGCATTGATCGTAAAAAAAGTATCTGTGCTTAGCCCAGTAATATATGAAAATAATAAAGATTTTACCTAAATTGGAATTTATTTTTTTAACCGTGTGTATGAGTGGCATTGAAAAATAAAAAATGTGTATGTTATTATATTTAGATACAAAGCATCCTTGATCATGGATGAATAAAATGAGATAAGATATATAATCGTGTTCACTTTTGCGGAATTTTATTATATCTGGATTTTAACTCTCAACCATGATTATACAGGTAACATAGAGCAACCCATGTGGTCATAATTACAGACGAAAAAATAGTTTATCGTTATATACATATAAAATTTTATTTCGAGTGTGAATCCGCATGCATTGTTATATGTGATCATAATTATTAACCGATTTAGCAGAGTTGAGATTTACTTATTAACTGCACTGATATATGTGCTGAGATACGAGGACCACTAACCAATCATTTATGCCGTTATCTCAATTCCTTTTGTGCGTTCGGGGGAAAACAAACAATTAATATAATATGATCCTTCTTTATATCCACCCGATATGGATTCCCGATGTTCTTGATTACACGCTGGGCATAATGATGAAGTAGTGAATTTATAGGTACGGTACCAGAATATTTATTACTATGATGCAAAGATAAATAAGGAAACCGATCTGATACCATTTTGATAACGATAATGGGAGAGCGATCACGAGTCATATACTCTGGGATTTGCTCATTCTTTGCTAAAACTTTTTTAGGCACTACACTTACCTCAGTATCTGGTAAAGTTTTCTTGGCTTTCTTACTTACCTTAGTGCTTGTTAAATCGTTTGAGCTAGATGGTTCAGTCATGTGTGCGTTCTTTTTCAGAACGGAGATTATTTTTTTGGGATCGTTACCATTGGTAACGGTTTTTGAATTCTCATAATCTTTTAACATAATTTATGATATTTTGAATTTGAACATTGGTTAATCTTGAAATATCGCTTGCGCTACAAGTTACTAGCTTAATTTTATCTTTTCCGATACCATTTCTCCAAATAATTTAAGGAATTTTTAGCTCTATTAGTTCGAATTCGCAAATTACCTGAAGTAACATTAGGTAGATATTTTAGCAACTAATCAAAGCCAAACCAAACAATCAACTAACTTTCACTAATAACATAATCATCATACGAGACATTCTCTTAGGCATCAGCAAAATTCAAATTAAAAAAAGCAATAGCAAAATTCGTATGATCACAAAAGAAAAGTGAAAATACACTATAATCAGATTTACATCAGAAAATGATGCACTATTAGCAACAAATAAATGGTTCATTCTTCTGGAAAATAACAAAATTCAGATTCTTTCTTTTACCAAATAACAAAACACTATAATAATATATAACAGATACAGAGCCAAACTAGTAAATTTCCCATAAAGAATCATTATCTACAAACTTGACAACATTCTAAATGAAATAAAGGCAAAATTCTATTTCATTTCATGATCACCTGTAAAATATCAGCATTAACATTTCATTTGGATTATATTTGAAGCAGCAGGTGAAGCAGCAGGTGAAACAGCAGGTGAAATAACAGGTGAAACAACAGGTGAAACAGCAGATAAAAGAACAGATAGCGTAGATAAAGCAGCAGGTGTAGGAGAAGATAGAGTTGATTGTTAGAATTTTGATCCTATTGAAGTAAAATTAAGAAATTTAATTAAGAAATTCTTATAATCTTTGCAGTTGCAAAAAAATTTTAAAAGATTTTGCCCATTTTTCATGATCATACGACTGAATAGATCTTTTGTTTGATTAGAAATTTGCATTTCTAGTTGTTCTGTGTTGAATGACATTATATCAGTTGATTTTGAAGAATCATCTTTGGAGAATTTTTTAGATTGTCTTAATAATCTATAAAAATAATTATTAAAAAATAATAGTAGTAAATAAAAAAAATATAATAGTAAATAAAAAAGAAATATAATAGTGAATAAAAAAGAAATATAGTAATAAATAAAAAAGGAATATAGTAGTGAATAAAAAAGGAATGTAGTATAAATGAAATAATAAAAAAATAGAAAAACAGCTTGTTATTTATATAACAGATTGCTATATCTATTATACTTTATTAGACTGTAAAAAAATTTGTGCTATATTTTATTTGTTCTTTATTAGAAATTATATTTTCTTCTTTAATTATTTCTTCAATTATTGGATCTTCTTCTTCAATTAATTCCAAAATTATAATCAATTTTCTTTTATCCATTTTGACAGATAGTTCAGATTGTACACAATCATCACATTTTTCATTATTACAAGGAATTAGACATTCTTGACAAAGTTTGACATTGATATGTTCTAGGTAAACAAGTTGTTGTCTTCTAATAGGACTTAATTATTGATATATGGATTGAAAGATTTCAGTTGCAGAGGCTTTTACAGGATCTTTATATTCAGTTTCATTTTCAAAGTTTTCTTCTATCATGAATCATGATAAGATTGCTTTGCCAATTTTATCACATTCTTTATAAACTTCTAATAGTGATCCTCATTCTCTAAGTTTGTTAATTGTTCTATTGTTTCTTCTCCATCCTTCATAATTAAACCAAAAGATACATTGATGTTCATAGGTGCAAAAGTATCTTTTCTCATAGCTTCTAGTGATATACATGTTTCTAGCTTCATCATGGTCTCTACATTGTGAACAGGCTGGAAGATTTAATCATTTTTCACAAATATATTTGTCACAAGCAATTGATTTTTCTCCATTTATTCGAAAATATGCTCCAGTATAATATTTATCGACAAATTTTTCACACTCTAAGCATTGTTCGATTTGGGTGATTGGATAAATATGATATAGAGCAGATTCAAAAGTGTCAAAGCTTTCTTTTACTTGATTATTAGTAAAGAGTTTTCTTTCAACTTCAGCAACCCAGTCTTCAGGCATTTTAAGTTCTGCTTGATATGGTTTATGAGTTTTAATTATAATCCAGTCAGCAAGATCATCATAACATTGACAGCATTTTTGTTCAGAGATGTAAAGGTATTTTTGACATCAGCATTTCTTGTCAGATCCTCTCCAATCAAGAGATCATCTACTATTCCATCTGCATTCTTGTTGAAATTTTTCGTTAAGTCGTTGAGTATCTTTTCAAGTGAATTTCTTCTATCTGACTTTAATTCCTTCTTAATATGCTTGTACTTTATTAATCTTCTTGATACTATATATAATTTGAAGTGACATTTCTTTAAGATCAACATATTTGAGATCTCTTTTGTGAGTTTCAACAGAAGTCCAGGTTTCTTCAGTGATAATTTTAATATTGTCATCATCTTGAGTTTCTTGTTGTCTAGGCATTACTGTATTTCAATCATCATGTTGCAACATGAGAAATGTTTTCTTTTCCAAGTGTTGTTTTTTGTATTTATCTTCAGAGTCTTCTTCCTCTGAATCATCTTCTTTAGAGCTTGATTCTTCAAATATAGAATTTCCTCTATCACCATGGATAAATTTAATTGGAACTTTTCCTTTTCTTTCATTAAACTCGAAAGTGAGAAGTCCTT